AAAAATTAGAAAAGAAAGTATGTACCTTTCCTCTTGTTATCTGATATTCATTGTTGTTCAACCCAGTGACTGATGTTGAGCTGCAGCAAATAACCAAAGAAGGCCATCTCTTAAGAACAAAACTTTTGTTTTTTTTTTAAAAAAAAAAAAAAAAAAATGAACTGAAAATTTGCAGAACTTTGTTATTCTACATTAGGTTGCCCCTTCTTAAGGATTCAAATACTTTGGAGATGCTAGACTTAATTATCTAGACATTAAGCAGAGTAGCCCAGTAATTCTTATATTTCTTGAAGATATGTAGCATGAACAAATTTGATCATAAAAGCAACTGAAACTCCTAAGCAAATTTAAAAACCTAATGAAATTGGATACCGCCAGCCAAAGAATTCAGGATCCATCAAAGGTAACAAAGCAAAACCCAATCTAATGGAAGTGAGCCTTAATGAGAAGTAAGGTGCAAATCGTAAGCATAATATCAGTTGCTCACTAATCAGCTGATAATGATAGCTGACAAAAGAAAGGCTCAAGCATAAATGTCAATAGCACCTGAAACGAGCAATTTCTCTCAATGGTCCACCAATTCCACAACCTACATCCAAAACCTACATGATACCAGTATAAGCTTGTGTCACAATCCAATCCAAATGAAAAAAAATAATAAATCTCTCCACTTGATATTTCAGTACTTTACAAAACAGTATAAACCTTCTGTCCAGGTCTCAGGGCCAGTTGTAAAGCCAGGAAGTGCTCATGTCGCTTGATACTCTCCCGAAGAGACTCTCCTTTCCATCTGAAATAATTAAGATCATTGTCATGATAACTTTTTCAGTAACACCGCAAAGGCATGCGGTCTCTATTGGTGTTAACTGCAGGAAAGAATAAAGTATTACCTCGGTGCAAAATGGAAAGACTCCCCCCAGCCAAACTCATAAAAGCTGGTTACGAGATCATAATATTTATTTACCTGAACTTGCAAATGAGACCATTAAAAATGTTGCGCACAAAGGACATTTTACAACCATTATGAGGAAAAACTAAATTCTAGCAAACACTTTACGGCCAGATGACCATTTAGCATGCTATAGATGATAGTATAGAAAAAGTTTAAAAGCAAAAGCTCAGATCACACAGTGCTAATTGAAAATGTGTTGCCAGTAACTGAGAGACAGCAAAAGAGACCAATTTGATAACAGATGATTATTCTGCCAAAGTTGGATAATTTTGAAGCAAACATGGTTAAATAGAGCTTCTCATACCATGTCAGTGTAGTTAGCTTTTCTCTCTTCCTCTTCACCTCCATAACAGACATGATATTTCTCATACCTGCATCATTAAGCTAAAACTTTTATCACAGAATTCAGGAACACCTATACTAATTTGGAGAGACAAAACTTAAAACACCATGCATAACATGCCAAGTTGTCCAGAAAACTTGGACTACAATTGTATTCAGCACAAAAGAATCACCTCATGCCATGTAGCTGATTGGTCATGCATATCTAATTCAGTTATGTGTTTTTCCATCACTTAGCTCAATAGAGCACACCAGCACTAAACATAAAACAGTGACAAGCCTTAAACAGTAAAACACTTTTTTTTTTAAATTGTAAACTCTTTGGAAGTTTGTTTAATTTTCAATGAGGAACGCTGCAGAATTGGCACATTTTTTCACTCTATCACACTCTCTAAAATAACAAACTGAGTTTTAAGACTAATGGACAAACCAAAATATAATTCAAATTAGAAAGTAATATAAAATTAAACCCAAAAACAAACTTTCAACCTCTAGCACAAAAATGAAATTCCAATTTTCTTTTTTACATAGTCTGATACTGTTTGGTCTACACGATGAACCGGGATATGTTCATACTAATTACTTGAGCAAATCTCATAGGTTTGATCTAATAACAACCAAGAAACTTTTTCCATACACAGTTCCCCTGGTATACACAATGATAGGTGATTATGTGAAGAAGATAGGTGTACTTCACTCTTATTTATTCATTTGAAAAATTAACGGGTACAATTAGTACAACTACCATTCAACAGACAACATAGAGTTTTTTTTTTTTTTTTTTTATTTTTATTTTTAATTTTAAATTTCCTAGCATTATAGATGTCACAATTCTAATAATTGATCAATACGCAACCCTATCATAATTGAGTAGTAAGCACACGAAGAGACATAAACAGCACTTGAAAGACACTGAACTCTAACCAGTGAACAGCTGGGGACCACATATCATTCTTCAATTGCTAATCAAATCAGTGCCTATTAAACAGTAAAATCATAGATCTACATGAATCACATACCAACTCAGTGCAAATAAAAAAAATAAAGCTAAAAAACAAAAGACTGCATCAATGATTTCACTTTCCTTTTCCCTTTATCGCTTGCACAAACCAATGGAAATCGACCTTTGATTTAAAAAAGAAAAATGCAAAAACTGAATCTCGTTTAAAAAAGTATCAGAGTCACTCTAAGCTCAATGTAAAAAGCCAAATTTCAGATTACAATCACTTTCGAAATACTATTAAGGATTACAACCACTTTCGAAATAATATTCAGAAGCATGCAAAATGTGAACCTCAATTATAGGTCTTTTTTTTTTTTTAAAGAGTACATAACGTGACTTAAACCAAGTAAAAGCACTTTTGAACAGTACATAAAAAACAAAAAATGAAGTACTTTTCGACGGCGGAGAGAACTTCGCTTTTGTCAATCTTTCCCCCGAGGCCAGAAGCCAGATCCAACGCGCCAGCCTTCGACATTGTTAGCTGAGTTCCGATCTAAAAAAAGAAAACAAAAACAATAGCAATAGAATCAGAATCAGAATCAGAGTCAGAATCAGAATCAGAATCATCTTAAAAAACAGAAAAACGAAAAATGATCACGTGTGTGACACGGAATCTACAGTTTGGAAAACGTGTATGTTATGAAAATGTAGCGGACGAGATTGAAGAGTTTACCTGAAAAGCAGAGAAGTTGAGAGCGGGCGCCTGAAACAGAGGCGATAAATCAGAAGAGAGAGTGAGACTCTGGCTTGAGAGAAACAAACCATATATAGACAGACACTTCACTATCGACAAGCACAAATACAAATCAGCATACTATTTTATTCACTTCAAATTCAAAATAAATACAGAGCGCAAATCATAACTAAACTAAATAGACTTAATGATGTCATATACTGGGCAAATTCTGTTTTTCTTTTCCGAAGGATATTTAAGACATTTCACAAGTGAAAAATAGAGTATGGGAAAGGGGATAAAGTTGACAGGTTAGAGAAAAACGACCTTTTCTTTGACGACGACATGAGAAGATTCTCATCGGTTCGGCTGCTGTGCTGCATCGCCCCAATTCTACTTAATTACTATTATACCCTTTTTTAAAACACTGCCCCCCTACATTTTTTAATATATTATTATTTTTATACATATATCTTAAATGAATAAAAAAATTATATATAGGTTGGGTGGCACATGAGGTCAAAATTATGTCATTAAATCACATTACCTATGTATAATTTTATAGGGTCCATAGAAATAATTATGGGTCTCTAAAGTCCAATACCATAGCTTTATTTCTAATTTATACTCATTTCAAACATCGAATATTTGTTTTATAATAAAAAAATTTGATTAAAAAATATTCACTAGCGATCGGATTCTTTACTGCCCCGAGATCCCAAAGGTGTCAGTGTAATATGTTTTTAATATATTTAATTTGTATTAAATTCTATTGAGGGCCTGCATTTGTAGAAACTTTCTAACTTTCCCGGCCCATATTGATGGACCTGGACCTGTTGATTAGTTGAACTAGCCCAATTTGGTTTAATTGAAATGAATTGACCCACATTAATGTTGATACCATTTGTCATGGGCCTAGAGTTTTGACGCAGCGAAGGTACCGACAGCAACCCAACATCACATGAGAGAGGGTAAGTCTACAGTACGTCATTCATTTGCTCGAGGTCTACTAGTTTCGTCTTGCCATGGACTTAATTAGGGAAGTGGTTCTAGCTCATAACCATTGTTCAAGGATAACCTAATCTCTTCTCTCATTGACTATAAAGAATGACTCCTAACACTCCAACAATCTCTTTCACGGAGCATCTCCCTTCTAAAGAGTCTTATGAGCATTGCCAATGTGATGAGGAAATAACTTGACGTCTCAATTGTCATGGCCAACGTAAATGCTTGTGAAACCGTTCAATCTCGTAGCTCTCCACACTTGTCACAATAACTCCAATTAAATATAGATGTTAATAATAGTTTGAAGGAAAATACAAAGAGCCTCCTTAAGTTTTCAAACATTTTCGTAGCTAACCCCCACTTTGGCAAAAACACATATAACTTCTATTTTTGTTAGGATAATTAACCTTGACAGGATGAGGTAAATATTGATAAAGAACGTAATGAGTTCAGTACGATTAGAAAAATAACAATAACAATTAGAAAAAAAAAAAAAAAAAAGATGTGGCGGGATGACAAACCCTTTAGCCACTAGGGTTAATTATACCTAAGAGGTATTATCTTCAGGTTGCTGGAGAATCAATTACCATTTTCACCTAAAAAAGGTTACAATGAGGTAAATTTCAATGTTAGGATTTTGTTTAAGACTAATTTTTGTTTATAATTTTGAATATTTTACAAAATGGCTGTCCAAATTCAAGGACACCTTCTATTCTTATTATTTCCGACAATTTTTATAGAATAATATTTATCAGCTTCAACCATTTTTATTGCCAACAAAAGTGATCTGGAATATTCTTTAAAATATAGGGATCTTCCTGTTATTACCCTACAGATCGTCCACAGTTTAGTGAAGTATCAAAACAACCCCTATTGGTTGGAAATCAGAGTTTGTAATATTAATAGTAGGGGTCTGAATTATCCCTAAAAATCTGACTTCATTAATCAGCTGAATCTTCTTGTTCGGAACTCGTTGCAGAAAGCGGAGGGATTGAGAGACTCGAAGCAACGCAGCCGAGACGGAGATGGAAACGATAACGATTTCACATTTGTCAGGCGAGTTTTGAAATTTTTCTTTATATTTCTATCGATTTTGAGTTCTGAGCATATTTAACAAATTTCGCTGGCTTTTCATTAGGTCGAGAAGATTGGACTCGGGGATCGATCAAATTAATGAAAACCAAACCAAGGTTTTCTATGGAACAGCAACAACAAAGAAGTAGCCGCGAAAAGGAGGAGAGAGCTGCTCTTTGGCGTTTAATGTTATTGATGCTTCTTCGTCATCTTCTGATGCTAAAGTTCAGGCAAAGTTCCGGCTCGAAAGCCGGTTTCTCGGACTAAGGTTCCGTTTGAGAAAGGTTATAGCCAAGTTGATTGGCTTAGGCTTACTCAAACTCATCCTGATCTTGCTGGTACTCTTTGAAACCCTAACTTTACAGAAATTTTAATTTTTTGGGTTTAAGGAATGTTATGTGTATATTATTCTAATTGAAAGCAGGATGATTTCTTACTGGCTTTTACAAAGAATGGGCATTTTATAAGCGGACAGCTTGATTAGTTAACCGTTTTAGAGGATGAGGGTTGTTTCATTTGAAGAGAAGTTCATTGCTTTGCAAAATGTTGCTAATTTTTGTCGTTTGTGTACCTGGTTTGCAGATATGCATATAACTTTTTCAGATAATATCGTGAATAACTTTATATCCATGTGTGCGTATGAGTATTAACAGTTTGTACATGATGTGTTGTTTTACATGTTATATGGACCCTATTTATCTTATATGATTGGAAGAGGTCAAGCTAGATATGGGTTTGGGAGTTAGTCCTCTGACAAGAGGTTGATTTATAGGCTGGCAACACATTCAGGCAGTTTTCATTTGATTGTTCATGAAAGGCCTTGTCTGGCTAGACAGTTGCTTACAAGCTTTAATTTGTATGCTCTGCACTTCTGAAACTGCTTGGGGCTTTTCCCCCCTCATTTCTGTCTGTGTTTCTCTTTTGGTTAAAAATCAAGGGAATGCTCAAAAAAAGATAAATTACTCCTTGCAGTTTAATGCTAAGGGTTTGTGTTAGTGGCTGCCTTTACTTTGAACTTCCTAAAGAACCTATCGAGATATAGGGTATGCTTGCAACATTTTTCTGTAAGATCATGCAATGCTCTCAATGATATATCTTGTATGACTCTTCTAATGGTCCGACATATTAGTTTATAACTGTTGATGATACATCTTTAAAGCAAGCGTAATCTAGTTATTGGAAGCTAGTCAACTTCTACTAATTCTCTGTCCACTGCTCTCTTGCATTAAATTACAACCCACCAATTTAAATGCTTTAGTAAATTGATGTGAGGCATGGGGAATGAAAAGAAATAAAGAACACGGCATGTGTAACCTGTCTAGTGATTGAATAAAATAAAAAAGGAGTCTGTCTTAACTGTCTATAAGTTGCATTCCAGGATTGAAGGGGCAGTCAAACAAGAGGCTTATCACTATGGATGAAGTGAAACAAAATCAAAGAGAAGGTTCCATGTGGACTGTCTTAAAAGGTCGCGTTTATAATTTATCTCCATACATGAAGTTTCACCCTGGAGGTATGGACAAGATTTATCCTCTTAGAGTTTCAAATTTTTACTTTTTCTTCGATCTTGAACATTCGATAATTTGTTTGCTGTTACATTGCATATGAAGGAAAATTATCTTATTTTGGATGAAATGCTTTTCAGGTGTTGATAAGCTGATGAAGGCTGTGGGTAAGGACAGTACATCTTTATTCAGTATCCTTTCCTGGCAGCTTACTTGTCTGCACTGTTAAATAGAAATGACAATATAATTTTATTAATGTTTCTAGGACCTAGTGATTATCCCCTTTGGTGGTTTTATTGTTGCATTTTCACTCCAAATGATCCAATCTTGAATTAGGATAACAAATATACTCAGAGAGACATCTGCATTACAGAAATTATGATCATTTATGATTGCATGCCATTCCAATTTGACACTACAACTAAGATTTTATTTTTTCTTTTATGACACTAACAATCACACAAGTTAAGCTTGGTGAGAAAGGTGGTCTAATGGCCAATGAATGGGTTACATTTGTTGAACCTTGGTGGTAGCCATTTCTTCCTCTTTTAAACTAGCTGCATAAATTTGCAATCCTTAATGTTTTATTCCAGATAAATACCATGCTTGGGTAAATGATGAGTTCTTATTGGCGAAGTGCTTGGTGGGTACATTGGAGAAAGTGGGTGAAGGCCATGATTCTTCAAAAATTTAGAAGTTGCTCCCTTCCATCACATCATTCATACTGGCCTCAACCATTCCTTTTTTCATGTTGTATTATTTAAAGATGTATACTATTTTACCCCATTTTTAGCCAGTGGGGGAACGATTTCTTTACACCTTTTGGGTGTTTGATTCATACAAAGATCAACATTTGCAATAAAAATGTACATTTGTAGACGAATTGTTGTAATAATTTCCCACACATGGGTTTTTATCTCATCTTGAATGGCAGATGCTCAATCTTCTTGCACAAAAGAAAGTGATGTCGGATATGTCTATCAAAGAAAACATCAATCATCAAATGTTATCATCAAAATCTTGGTTTGCCACTTAGCACGCAAGGAAAACTTGATTGAATTTCCACAAAGAGTGAATGACATTTTCCCAACCAAGGTTTGCCTTAATAACATTATGTCACCCATAAAGTTTGGGTGAGAAAATGTTATTCAGCCTAGTTAAAAATTATGAAGTCAAATAATGAAGGGTATTATAATCCTTTTGTACTTTTACCGTTGTCAGGTAATTGAATCCCTTGATGGAGATTGATTTGGCCTTGTTTTATTTGTGCTGCAAAAGACTGCAACTTCAACTAGTCATGATAGAGAAAAACAACCAAAACAACATTCATTCACAGTGTCTTATTTCATAAACTCATGTGGGTTGTCCCCAGAAATTGCTGCTTCTTTATCAAAGAAAGTAGCTTTTGAAACCCCAGAAAACCCAGATTCTGTACTTGGCCTTCTCAGAAAATATGGGTTTAGCGATGCTCACATTACCAAGCTATAGTTTGGAGAAGAGAATCATCCCGAGAAGCAGAGTTTTAAGGGTTTTGTTGTTGAACGACTTGACGCCGCTATTGAGTTGGCAGCTAAATACAAAATGATTTTGACTAAACCCAAAAAACGACTATTCATAAAAGAAATGGCCGTTCCTCATGGAAGGAATAACTGTTCATTTCTAAGGAACGATCATATATGAAGAAATAATCGTTCTTTGATAAGAAATGATCATTCGTTGTAAAAGAATAACTATTTTTTAATCAGTTGACATGTTAATACTAACTAATATATCACGTCTGTTTGTGAAAGAAAGTTTGTGAGATTCATTTATCAACGTAGTATTACCTCCAAATTATTATTATTATTAAAGGGATTTTTGAGGAAGAAAATATTGGGGTTTTGTTTTAAAGGAAGAATCATGTCATACTTGCCATTCCTAGTGCATCTACAGTAATCACATTTTACAACTGTAGTTATTTATTAAAAATTCGATACCACAAAGGTTTTTTTTTTTTTTTTTTTTTGGGGGGGGGGGGGGGGGGGGGGGGGTTTTAAACATTAACCAATAAGAATTAATGTTACTTAATTTAAATTAACAGAAAAATGACTAGTGAGTTAATTTTACAAACCTTTTCTCACAACTTCAACGCAGTAGTTTGTAATTGATTAGTTTGCGAATGGATTCCGCATTCTCGTTATATCCTACCTGTCTAATTGCAGCTGCATATCGTAGTTGTGAATTTTTTGTAAAATTGGATTATCGGCCAAATCATTGAAAAAAAATAATAATATAGAAATATTTAAAATCCCCTAATTGTTTCCTAATATTACCCCAGTCCATGAATTTCAAAAAAAGAGTGATGATATTTTTCCACGCTCATTAAATTCAGCCAATAATTTAACAGTAAAATGGCATTTTTGTTAGTTCCCAAATATGTATTACAGGATTATGTTACTTATACTCCTAAATTACAAATACATAACATAACACACTAAGTTGGGTGGGAATTTTATTTTTTTCAAAGTTTATGGGTGGAAAAGTAATTATGGAAAGCTTTGGGTGAAAATGTTATTCACTCAATTGAAAAGTTAAAAGTTAAAACCTAACAAACAGTTCAGAATCTGTGTTGCAATTCTACGAGGGCATTTGTATAAAGATTAGCAAGCAATACCCAGTTTAAAGCTGAAAATTTGAAATAATTCGTGAGTACTTTCTTGCTCTTCGTTATTTATTTATTTTTCTTCATTTGTATTTGATTTGGCCATGTTTTGTTTGTTCTACAAAAGACTGCAATATCAACTAGTCCCAAATTGGAGAAATGCAGCATACTCGACGATCCATTTGAGTTTTCTTTTGCAGAATACATCACTTTTTTCTAAATCATTCTCATCGGTTGAAGTTGTGGCACATGGTAGAGAAAAGCAACCAAAACAACATTCATTCACGATGTGTGGTTATGTGTATAGAAGGCTAGTATATGCACAAGTTTTACCAAATATTTATAGGTGTGTCGTTCCAAATTTAGGCACTAATCATGTGGATTTGTGTTTGAGTTTTTTGCCCACCAGCATTAGATCATTCTCCACCAAAATCGAACAAGTGAGAGAGGATTACTTATTTACTATGCCATACCTCATAAACTCCTGTGGGTTGTCCCCAGAAAAGGCAGAATCTGTCTCCAAAAGAATCAAGCTTCAATCCGCTGAACAACCAGATTTGGTCTTGAAAGTTTTAAGAAACCGTGGATTTACGACTGCTCATATAGCTAAACTTGTTGGAATGCGCCCTAGTTTATTTTTAGCCAATCCTGAGAAGTCAATTTTGCCTAAATTTGAGTTTTTCAACTCTTTCGGGATCACAGATGCTTAGCTTGTGAGTGTTTGCTCTTCAAATCCAACTATTTTGGATCACAATTTGGAGAACCAACTGATTCATAACTATAAATTCCTCAAAAGTGTGCTCCTTTCTGATGCTAAAATTATTAAATCTTTAACAAACAAATCATGGCTCTTTGAGTATGATTTGGCAAAGACTGTGTCTCCGAAACTTGCAGTCCTAAGAGAAGTGGGTATGCTTGAGCATTCTGTTGCATTGATTTTAACATGTTATTCCCATATAGTGCTCCAAAAACGTAAGAAGTTCGACAAAAATATCAAGAAGGTTATTGAAATGGGTTTTGATCCTTAGAAAAGTGGGTTCATCCATGCGATGCAGGCATTTGTTGCAATGAGTCAATCAACCTGGGAACATAAATTGGACATTTTCAGAGGGTGGGGATGGTCTGATGAGGACATTATGTTGGTGTTCAGAAAATGCCCCAATTTTATGAATGCCTCTGAACGCAAAATAATGAATGCGATGGATTTTCTTGTGAACAAGATTGGTTGGCAGTCCACAGATATTGCCTTGTGTCCAGACATTTTCCTTATGAGTTTGGAAAAGAGGGTAATCCCAAGGTGTTTGGTTATTAAAGTTCTGCAATCGAAGGGGTTGGTGAAGAAAAAATATAACCTAAGTTCATTTGTAAAACCTTTTGAGAAGCTATTCTTGGATAGGTTTATGACAAAATACTTGGACCAGGTTCCTGAATTGATGAATATCTATCAAAGGAAGGAAGGGTTTCAGGCTCTTGATATGAATATTTATGTTTGTTCCAGCAAACTGTAGTATGTAAACTGTTAATTCTTTGTACACATGATTTTCTTACAGCGTCTTTTATCAGTTCTCATTGTTTAATTGGACAAATTGAAAAGAATGAAGTTGATGTTATACAAATCTCTCTAATTTGGTTCTGTTGTTTGCCCCATGCCAATCAGAAAATAAACATTCCCCTTATCTTTTCTTGATGGATTTTGCCGTAAGAATTGAATTGACATATTATTTTGTGTCCCAATTTTTTAATTTGTTTTAACAGAGTATAATTTTACAGTACATTTCCTTGAAGTTATTAATTCCCCGCACTTACTTTGCAAGTCTGAGATCGAAACTGGAGCCCCACTTGTTTTTTATTATTATTGAAGGGATTTGTCCAGGATGAAATGTATCGAAGATGTTTGTATAGTTGCTAGTGAGAACCTCTGTTTTAAAACCCGGACTGGACCGGCCTATCAGATTGGGACCTGACAGCCTCTTCGAGCTGTATCAGGTTCCAGGGGGTTTCTGCTATATTTCAAACTTATAGGGATTACTTTGTCAATTTTTAGGGTTTTTCAATATTTTAAAATTATAGGGAGTAGAGTAATTCTTTTTTTGGATATCTTTGTAATATACTAAAATTTAAGGGATGTTATTAAAATCCCTGGTCCAACCGGTTGGACCGGTTGACCCCGACTCGATCACCTTGTCAAGTCTTACAACGGGTCGAATTTTAAAACAATGTAGTGAACTAGTTCTTGCATAATTTACTGATTTTGTAGTATCAAATCTCTACCATTAAAGGAAGAATCTTGTCATTTTCAATTTCATTTCAATGCTTGTGATACCAGGCATTCCTAGATCCAGATGCATCCACAGATTACAGTAATCACAATTTACAATTCTACTTATTCATGTCAAACGATCTTACTAATTTCATGACAAAATTAAAAGTTCTTGTGTTAAATTCGATACAAGAATAATGTATTTATTTATTTCTTTTAGTTTAAAAAGATGAAATTTCACTAAAATCCTCAACTTTTGCTTAAATTTTTCAAGAAAAAGTCCATATATTTCAAGAAAAAGAGTGAATGACTTTTCCCACCAAAGTTTGGCGTTATTTTTACAATCCCTAAACTTTGAAAAAAACATTTTTCCCCCCATCATTAAAATTCGGACATTAGTTTTAACAGAAAGGGGCATTCTTGTCAGACCGCACAAATGTTATTACAGAGTCAATATCACTTACATCCTAAAATAAAAATGCATAACAATTACCTTAACTAAGTTGGAAATTAGCCATTTAAACCCCATCTTTAATTGCTATAAATACAACGAAGGTTCCACTTTTTAAGTATGCATATTTTTAAAAAGATTTAAAATTGTATATATTATTTTTTAAAATTATAATAATATCAGTAAATTAAATATTTATAAAATTATAAAACAATATTTCATTAAAACTGTATATTTTACGAAATTATATAAAAATATAATTTCCAAAAAAAAAAGAAAAAATCCAAAAATAAAAATTATGAAAATTTGAAAAAAAAAATTACATTTAATAAAGTTTTGTGGGAAAATGTTATTCAACCTCGTTAAAAAATAAAAAGTCAAATAGTAAAGGGTATTATAGCCTTTTTCATAGTTTTACCCCTATCAGATAAAATAATCCATTTACGAAGATTGACGCTGGATGGGAAATTGTTTTTTTTTTCAAAGTTTCTGGGGAAAAATATAATTATGGAAAACCATGGGTGGGAAATTTTCGTTCACTCAGTTTGAAAATTGAAAACCCTAGAAGCAGTTTATCAGAATCTGTGTTGCAATTCTATGAGGGCATTTGTATAAAGATTCGCAATCAAATATCCAGTTCAAGCTGAAAATTTGAAATAATTCGTGAGTGCTTTCTTTCTCTTCATTTGTATTTGATTTGGCCATGTTTTGTTTGTGCCGCAAAATACTGCAATTTCAACTAGTCCCAAATTGGGGAAATACGGCATACTCGACTATCCATTTGAGTTTTCGTTTGCAAAATACATCACTTTTTTCTAAATCTTTCTCGTCCGTTGGAGTTGTGGCACTTGATAGAAAAAAACAACCAAAACAACATTCATTCACAGTGTCTTATTTCATAAACTCATGTGGGTTGTCCCCAGAAATTGCTGCTTCTTTATCAAAGAAAGTAGCTTTTGAAACCCCAGAAAACCCAGATTCTGTACTTTTACCCTCCAATGGTCTGTTGAGAGGTTGAAGGCCCTTGGTAGCCAAGACCTACACACAACTTGAAGGGGTGGATTATCATGAAACGTTCTCTCATGTTGCCAATTTGGTAACTGTGAGATGCCTCTTAGCATTTGCTCTGTTAAGGGTTAGCATTTACATCAATTTGATGTAAATAATGCCTTTTTACATGGGGATTTACACGAGGATATTTACATGAAGAAACCTCCGGTTATCCAAAGGGACACCCACTCAGTCTGCAAACTATTAAAGATGTATATGCCCTCAAGCACATCGAGGCAATGGTACTCTAATTTTCTCAATCGCACTTGAATCTGGTTTTCACACATCAAAGGCTGATTAAGCCTCTTCACAAAGGAAAAAATGGTTCTTTCATAGCTTTATTAGTGTATGTCGATGACATACTTGTGGCCATCAATGACATTAATTCTGTCAGCCAGTTGAAACTCTTTCTTGACAGCAATTTAAGATAAAGGACCTTGGCTCTTTGAGGTATTTTCTTGGCATTCAATTGCCCGCTCCTCTAAAGGTATCTTTTATGTCAAAGAAAGTACACTTTGGACATTTTAGTTGATTCTCTGAACTTTGGCAGCAAACCTACTAAGGTTCCCATGGAACAAAACCCAAGTTAACTCCATCTTGTGGCCAACCTCTATCAGACCCAGTGTGTATAGACGATTGATTGGTTGTCTTCTCTATCTTACAATTACTCGACCTGACATCTGTTACAGTGTGCAAACTTTGAGTCAATTTATGGCTGCCCCATTGATTTTCATCTCTCTGCTGCTTAGAAAATTCCAAGTATCTCAAAGCTGCACCGGGTCAGGGGTTACTTCTACCCATCCTACTCACTTCAACTCACCGTTCTTGTGACTCGGATTTGCCTCATGTCCCACACTAGACGATCAGTCACTGGGTACTGTATCTTCCTTGGTTCATTGTTGATTTCATGGAAATCGAAGAAGCGCCCGTTGTTTCTCGATCCTCAACCGAGGCTAAGTATCGATCGATGGTAGCTACATGTTGTGAGCTTACCTGGCTGTGATTTCTACTTTCTGCTCTCCAAGTTTCTCACCCCCAAGCCGGCCTTGCCTGGGATAACCAAGCTGCCATCCATATTACCGCCAACCCTGTCTTCCACAAAGGACGAAACACATCGAGCTTGATTGTCACTTGATTCGTGACAAGATGCAATCAAAACTTTTTATTTTCCAACCTCCATCAGTTTGGCTGATCTTTTGACTAAAGCTTGTGCATTTATTGTTCTTCATTCTCACTTATCCAATGGGGAGTTCTTAACCTCCACTCTCCATCTTCCGCCGGGGGGGGGGGGGGGGTGGGGTTGTTTGTATTAGAGCATAATCCACCACAGGGAACGTGTCCATTATTGAAGAATGATGATTTCATTATTCTTTTCTGTTATTTATTTTGGTTTGCTGTACATTCTGTTTGCTGATTTGTACAAAGGGACAATAATGTATTTTCCCTTTATAGGTTGTTAGAAGATTCTTTTGTAATAGTATATAGACAGCTGTGTATAGTTAATTAAAAAGTATCAGAACATTTTTCTCTCCATCTTCCTGGACGATTCTTTCTGTTCTTCATCTTGTTACAGCAGATTCTTCTCTGTTCTTCATTTTGTTACATCATTTCTTCACATTTATCTGCTTCACCATGTTTAATCTGCCAACCAAAAGGGATCTCGATGTCTTTTTTACAAATTAAAGGGATCTTCCGGTTATTTACCCTAGTAATGGTCCCTTTTTAATCCACAAGTTTAGTAAAGTACCAAAACACCCCTATTGGTTGGATAATCAAGTTTGTAATATACATTAGGGTCTGAATTAATCCCTAAAAACTGACTTCGTTATCAGCTGAATCTTCTTGTTCGTAACTCGTTGCAAAGCGGAGGGATTGAGAGAGTCGAAGCAATCGCAGCCGAAGACGGAGATGAACAACGATAACGATTTCACATTTTGTCAGGCAAGTTTTGAAATTTTCTTTTTATTTCTATCATTTTGAATTCTGAGTTTTGATAAATTTCGCTGGCTTTTATAATTAGGTCGAAAGATTGTGGACTCGAGGATCGATCAAATTAATGAAAACCAAACCAACGGTTTTCTATGGAACAGCAACAACAAAGAAGTAGCCGCGAAAAGGAGGAGAGAGCTGGGTCTTTGGCGTTTAATGTTATTGATGCTTCTTCGTCATCTTCTGATGTGAAAGTTCAGGCAAAGTTCCGGCTCGAAAGCGGGCTTCTCGGACTAAGTTTCCGTTTGAGAAAGGTTATAGCCAAGTTGATTGGCTTAGGCTTACCCAAACTCATCCGGATCTTGCTGGTACTCTTTGAAACCCTAACTTTACAGAAATTTTAATTTTTTGGTTCTAAGGAATGTTAGTGTTATATTATTCTAATCGAAAGCATGGATGATTTCTTACTGGCCTTTTACAAAGAATGGGCCATTTTATAAGCGGACAGCTTGATTAGTTAACCTGTGTTTAGAGGATGAGGTTCGTTCATTTGAAGAGAAGTTCATTGCTTGCAGTAAAATCTTGCTAATTTTTTGTCGTTTTGTACCTGGTTTGCATATATGCATATAACTTTTAGATAATATCGTGAATTACTTTTATATCCATGTGTGCGATGAGTATTAACAGTTTGTACATGATGTGTGGTTTTACATGTTAATTTTGTTCATTTGAAGGGAAGTTCATTGCTTCAGCAAATGTTGCTAATTTTTGTCGTTTTTGTACACTGGTTGCATATATGCATATAACTTTTTCAGATA